TAGGACAGAGAGTGAATACACATACTTTACAGAGATGCTGAATGAGAAACCAATGTGAGTTTGGAAAATTGAACAATGTAAATCTATTCTAGTAGACCTCAACAATGGAATTATGATCAGTAGAAATGGCCATGACATGGGACCTTTAAATACAACTAAATCATACATATAATACAATTTAAAGTACAGATAAAGATACATGAATTAAGTATAACATTGGCCAATAAACAATAAGTTAAATAAATAATAATTATAATTTTTTTTTCAATATACAGATTAAGATTATTTTAGAAACAAATTAAAACAAGTCATATTTAAAAAATCCAAATATAAAGTTAAAATGAAAGAAAGCTAAGCATGACATTGGGTAACAAAATAATAATACATATACAAATTCAAAATGTAAAATACAAAATAGGTATGTATTACATTAAAAATATCCAAATACAGAGAAAGATAAAAACGATTTGGTTTCACACCAAAAAGGATCTGGAACTAGTCCCTAGTTCGCGCGAACCTTTTCACCCGAGTTCGGTGGGAACAAGTACCGGCTAAGTACTTGGTTTGAAAGCGGCTGCTGAGCCTCATCGTGTGCTCTCCTGCAGGTCTCACCACCACCAGTCTGCCTGACAGCACCACAGACAGGCTGACCACGGCCCTACAGGAGACCACTGAAGAAACTACCTCCACCCCGAACCCCACCACCATCAGCAGCCTCTCACCCTCCGTCTCAGACCCCACCACAGAAAGCACCGCTCACCCCCCGACAGGTGGAGACACTTTGATTACTTCCAGAACATCACTATGTAACAACTCTCCTCCAAAGAGGCTGTCTTGATTTCTAGAAAAACATTCCCTGCAAAAAACAAGGATAAAGCAGGGGTGTCCAAACTATGGCCCGGGGGCCAAATGCGGCCCGCGGACCATTTTGAATCGGCCCCTCAGCAAATTCAAAAAGTATAATGACATACGGCCCACAAATGAAACTTGTGCTTTTCTTATATTGTACTTCTTAACTATACATTTAAAAATATATTACACAGTAGTATTCATGTGTTCATAA